TGTCTCTTTACCTCTTTTCTCTTTCCTTCCCTTATTTTTTTTTTACCTCTCCCCTCAATAAAACTTCCAGTATGAATCATGTCTACAGGTCTCTGTTTCCCATCTGCCTGCTGCTTCCCATCACCCACTGCGCCACTGGACGGAGGGCCGGGACCTGTCACCTGCGGTCCCAACCCTTTATGCTTTATTCCTAACACTGGGGGTGGCACCACCCACAGTGGGCTGGGCCCTCCCACATAGATCTTCAATAAGAAGATATTCCTACAGGCTGACCCGTAGCCTGGTCTCATGGAGGCATTTTCTCAATTGAGTTCCCTTCTCTCAGGTGACTCTATCTTGTGACAGACTGACAAGAAACTATCGGGCATGGGCAGTTAATGGTTGCTGGCGTGGAGGACACCCACTTTCCTGAGGGTGTATGAGCTGTTAACCCCTCTCGTGCTCCTGTAAGTAACCCTAATTGATTTAGCAAACTTAGGTTTCACACCTGGGACAAATGGATGAACTGTTTACTTAACATATCAAAGCAGGCACTGGATTCCTCTTTGGCTGCCCCATCATCCCAGTATTCCTAGCGGTCACAGGGCCCTCCTGGCTGGCATACCACCCTGACCCTGAACTTTCCAGACCAGGGGCCTGGGCTGCCCTTCTCTGTATAATCCAGCCATTTTGGTTGTATTCTTCTTGTACCTTTGGGTCTCCTGGCTGCTGCACCGGTTCCCCTGCTCTCCTCTCTCCTTTCCCTTCTTCTCCTGAAATGGTCCAGCTAAGTCTGGTCATGTCCACTCTGGGCTCTCCCAGATGTCCCCACCTCTGCTGTGCCTCCTCTTTTATCTACATTAATCCTTCTCCTCCACCATACCTGGGAGCAGTTTTGTGTCCTTTCCTTTTATTTATTTATTTTTCCACTCACTAACCAAGACAGACTCAGGTGGAGTTATTTCTTTGGTCGGCCATTGGTGACTTATCTGGGGTGACCAGACACCTGTCTCCCACAAAAGTTCACACAACTGCCACTCAACCTGTTCTTATAGTGTGGGGTGGGGGATTTCATTTTGGTCTGCAATGAAGAGTTTCTTGAAGGTTGATGCTATATTCCAACAACTGATCTGGCTCCCACAGCTGGGCAAGGCAGCCCCCAGAGCTCAGCCATGACTCTAGACACAGGCACAGGTCTTACAAGATCTCACCAGTTGCCTTAGTCATCTTTGGAGTATGGAGCCTAGCCAGCTTCATCAGCCAGCAAAAACCACCTGGAAGGTATAGACCAAAGTGTGTACCACTTACTACTATCTAGTGCTGTTAAAAGAAAATCACCACACAGTCACAATGATACAGGTGCACAAAGCTACAAAGGGAAGGAGGGATCTGGAATTTAGTAGAGGGATCAAGTCTTTGTAGACGTCAACCTTTTTATAACAGGAAGAGGATCTGGATCCCTGCTTGCCTTTCTAAGTGCAGTAAATAGAAATTTGAGAAGGTGGATGCGGTATCACCTCCCAGTGTTTGGAAGGCAGGAGGATTTGGGGAATTTGAGGCTGTGTGGTGAGGGAAGAAAGGAAGGTGAGGGGAAAAGATTGGTTTTAGAGAGACTGGTTTTCCTGAGATCCCTGGAGCTGTAATATTTGCCTGCCCCACCAGGGAGCAACCTCTCTGCATTTATGTTCTTCTCCGCAGACAACTGTCAAAGCTCAGCATACACGCCAGGTTTGAGCAGAATTCATTTGGCTTTCACAGCCCTAAGAAATCTTCCCAGACCCTGCAAAAGTGTCTCAAATACCCTGGAGACAATTCATGGTGAAAGGTCAAAAGGATGACTTCTAGGGAATGGCTCTAGAATCTGGAGTAGGGTCACTTTTTTTTTTTTTTCAACATAATATTTGTTCTGGGATTTTTTTGCAACATAATATTTGGGGGTTTTTTGTAACATAATATTCACACTCACTTCCCCTTCCTCCCAGGTCCACCCTCCCACCTCCTCCCTCCCCCCACCCCCCACCCCTGGCTAAAAAAACCAGAAGCTAAGAACAGGAACTAATTGTGCAGAGCCACCCTTCATCATCTTCATCTCCATCACACCCTTGTTCTGGTGGAAGCTTCAGCCCAGTCCGTTATCCATTACCCAGAGTCTGGGATGCACTGGCGGGAACTCCACCCCAAGTCTCCCGCCCCCATCTCTCTCCAAAACCTGCTGCATCTCAGAAGGCTATCAGATGATGACTCCTCCTCCCCCCCCCCAGAAATGCTCAAGAACACCCCCACAGAGTATTTAAACTGTCCTCAGTTTTCTTTCTCTTCTCTGGAGAGCTAGAAAATCATCTGGGAGCATTGTATCCATTAAACCTGGGCTTTTTCTTTTTTGTTTTTGTTTTTGTTTTTTTGTTGTTGTTTGTTTGTTTTTTATTTTTCAAGACTGGGGTTTCTCTGTGGCTTTGGAGTCTGTCCTGGAACTAGCTCTTATAGACCAGGCTGGTCTCGAACTCACAGAGATCCGCCTGCCTCTGCCTCCCAAGTGCTGGGATTAAAGGCGTGTGCCACCAACGCCCGGCAAACTTGAGCTTTTTCTAATTCGGTTTGATTTTCTCTGAGTTGGACTGCTGTGTTGGTGGAGAGACTTATGGTGCAGAAACTTCTCAGTCCTCAAGGACCCCACCTCTCCTCAATGTCCACCCGCCTAGACTGTTTCCCTCCCTTTCCTTGGGTGAGGGGCAGGTTGTCACAGACACCCTCAGTGTCTCTAATCCTCAGCTGTAGTCCTCAGCACCAGCAAGTGCATAGTCACTTTCTGACCTGACTATGAGTGGCAGCTTTCTCTCCTTTCCCCACCTATACTGTGCAGCTGTCGGTCAAAAGGACACCCATTTGGAAACTAGAACTTCCCTGAGGTCAAAGAACTGCAGGAAGCGGCATCTGGCTCCCACACCTGGTCCTGATGGTGCCTTGGGAAGGCTGAGCTTCATCTTTGCATTTCTCCAGCTCAAGAGCTCAAGTGCACAACAACCCCACACCTGGTGATGAGGGGAAGCTCGGGGATTTCCCATAATGTTCCCTTGGGGTACAGAGCCACCGTTTGGATCAGTGGGGTTGTGATCTTTAGCACATCAGACTAAAAGACACCCACACCCAGGACATGTAAGGCCACATTCTGGGGTCTACTATGCCAGTATTGAAAGGGCTGGTAATGGGCACAGTGCAGAGGAAGAATCTGAGGCAGTGATTGCCTTTTCTAGGACTACAGCCAGCTAATACCTAGGACATTGCCTCTCTCTTTTGGCCTCTGTAGCAACTTGTCCAAAACCCCAAAAAACTACAAAATCCACAAATGGGAGTTGTGGGGTCTTTTGGGGGGGGACAATTTTTATTGGTCCAAGGTTAACAACAGACCAAAGAGACAATCGTGTCTAAAGGTCAGCTTTGTGAACCTATGAACTTGGAGTTTCAGGTTACTTCCAGGAGCAGGCTACTTGGATAGCTATGTTGTGGGAATGCAGACTCACCCCCCCACCCCCGTCCCCAGCATGGGCAACACTCATGAAAGCTTCGTCCCAAGCTTCGTCCCAGCCAGCTTCCAGGTCCCCTGCTTTATCGCTTCACATCCTTGGAGAGGGGCAGGACTCCTTAGCCTTCCACCTCCTTTCACGCAGGAATGTTAATAAGCCAGCCTCAGGAGGGCCTCGTGGGGGAAGATCACAGCTGCTCTGACTGAAGACAGCAATAATCAGATGTAAGCCAGAGGGAACGGCACCGGGCAATGGTTACCATCTCATCCCCTGATCTTTTAGAACCCTCGCTGCTAACATTTGGAGAGTGGAGGGGGTGTCTTTACACAGCCCCCCAATTACGAAGCTCGGCAAGTGCTGGCTGAATTTTTCCAGGCTGGGAATGTCTGTGTTCCTTTTTTCTGAAACTGAACTATGAAGTCCTTGATTGCGACAAACTATCCAAATGTGAGGATTTTTTTTTCTCCCTTGACACAGTCTCCCTTGTGGCCTAGACTGAGTGCTGTGGTGCACCAGACTTTTTCTTTTGGGCCCCGACCAGCTCCCAAATCATGACTCAGACTTACTAGTTTTGAGTGTTTGGCCTAGCTTAAGCTCGTTTCTGGCTAGCTCTTTTAACTTAACATGTTTCTGTTCATCTGTGTTTTGCCTTGGGTCATTTTATCTTCTTTCTGTATATCTTACTTTCACCGCCTCGCTATACTTAGCTGGCCAATCTTGCCCCGATGTAGCCCTCTTTCTCTCCTTGCAGTCCTTTGATCTATTCTCTGCCCTCCCCGAAGCCTATCCTTTCCCAGCTATTGGCCATTCAGCTCCTAATTAGACCAATTGGGTACCTTACGCAGACAAGGTAAAAGAGCTTTTCATAATTAAACATATGCAGCATAAACAAAACTAACACACCTTTATACAGTTAAATATTCCACAGCATAAACAAATCTAACACATCTGTGCCTAGTTAAAATAATCCACGACACTGGGGTTACAGGTGCATGCTGCCACAATGGTGTATATTTGTTCTTTTAATCACCAAATCCAGTGTTAATTGTATGAAGAATTGTTTAGGGTTCTATTAGAACAATTAGTATGTGTTCAAAATGAAGATGTGTCTATTTAACTATCATGTGTAGTGTTTTTGTTTAAATTTTAGTCTTGCTCTTCCCTCCCTGTCGTCTGCCTCCCCAACCTCCCCCCCCCCCCGTGTGTGTGTGTGTGTGTGTGTGAGTGTGTGTAAGGGAAGGGGCCCATGCCATGGCACAATGTAGGGAGATCAGAGGACATCTTTGAGACTCCATTCTCTCCTTCCTTGGTGGATTGCAGGGATTGAACTCAGGTAATCAGGCCTGTGTGGCAAGCCCCTTTCCCTGCTGAACCACCTTGCAGGCCCCTGTATCTTTTTGCACATACGCATGTCTGGAAAAACCCACTCATTCATCAACCAGTCTCTCGCATCACGCCTATGTAAAAACCCTTTATTGTTGAAAAGGAGACATTGTATTTTTAATGCGGGACACTACAGAAACCATAGTGCCCAAGGGACTGAAACTATTCATATGCAGCTTCCATGCTGAGCAGGAGAAGGAGTCAAAAGGAGGATCGTACAAGCTTGGAAAAGAGAAAGGGAGTCGGGAGCATGCTCTGGGATTGGTACAGAGACAATGTCCTGATGATGGGGTCCGGGGTCCAGAAGTGGAGTGCTAAAGACAGAAATAAACAAATAAAGCTTTAAAACCACATCTTTGTCAAACAAAATGCCCACTGTCCCACCCACTGAGGGAACAAGGGAACAAGGGAACAAGGGCTGTCTCTGCAGAAGGGAAAGCTTCACTCTCATTGTCCCAGCAGCCTTTGGGCTGGCAGCAGGTGCCTGCCCCTTCCACAATGTTCTAAATGCTGTGTCATGGTCTGCGGAGTGCATGCAGAACAGTGAAGTGACTGCTTCCTGTCACCCAACACTCCCAGGAGGCTAGCACAGCCCATCTCCAGTGACTGCTCCTTCCACTGCTTAGCCCAGTCCTCCTTCCTAGACAGGCCCTCAATGACTTCTGTTTAAAGTAGCTTCATGTGAGTGAAATAAAATGACACAGTCATCCGTGTTGATCCACTTCCTCTAATCATCTTTAAATGCTAGCCCCTGGGGACCGCATGTCCCATCTGTCTGGCACCTAACAGGTTTAGAATACCCTCAGTGGTGAGATTAGAAAGGCTGCAATTACTGGCTCAGTCTCTCTGAAAGAACTTGGATTCACCAGAAAATATTAAAAGTAGATTTCCACAATGCACTTGCATTTACCATTTGTGTAAAATACTATGGCAAAATTACACTGTAATTATCTTTATGGCCAGTGCATAACGTTGGAGGAGAGTATGTCACCCAGATATAGCTACCCGTATAATTATCTGGCCATCGGCAGGACTGAAATAACCATCTAATGAGAAGAAAATGATATGGTAAACACCATGTAATCAGCAAGTTACAGTTATTATAGCCCTTTGTGCCCTCTCACCCAACAGTAAATGGGAGACCGGACCCAGTCCCTGGTCTGAGGGAGTCATGAACAGGTAGTATCTAGGGTCAGCTTTTTGGGTCTCAGACTGGCCACCCTGAGGCCAGCAACTGTGAATTCCAGAACAAAGGGAGAGGGGAAGGAGCTGTGTAGATTGCAGAGGCTTTCCAGCCCCACCCCCCACTCCTTGTCTTCCTTCTCTTTAGAAGCTAGCAGAAAGGAAGGCATCAATTGAGTGGCCGTTGCCACGTGTGGGTAGACAGATATTTCTGTGTTTTGACTAGACTTCCCTAAGGGGCTTTCACACTAGTGGACAAGTGGGGAATCTCGCAGCCCACTCAGCCCTGAGGTCTGGCCTAGATGTCTTTCATCTGTCAGACAAAAGCTAGCCAGGGCAACTCGAGGACATTCTCTACCCACCCCTCCCCAGTGCTCAGCTTCCAGACTGGAAGAGCCGTAATATAGATGACTCTGTGTGTGCCAGGAACCGTTATGAAGGCTTTGTTTGGAAAACCACAACCTTGGGAGATTTTATCACCATCCTTATATTGCAGATGGAGAAACTGAGGCTCGGTGTTAAGTCTCTTGGCCAATAGGACACAGTTAGAGAAAGGCAGGTCCAGGATTGAATTTAGGTTGCGTTCTAATACATTCTGCTGTACTAGGAGGCTAAGATGTGGTTCCCAGCTATTTCCAGACTTTTAGCATCCCTGAATCTCTTCCTAAATCGTAATTGTACTGACTGCATTCTGACACTGTAACTCAGTACAATTCAGCCTACTTGGGAGGCAAACACTTTGAGCTGTGAATAAATCCACAGTGACTGAAGGACGTTCTCACCATCTTTTGAATAGATCACAAGAAGACGGTGTCCAAAAACACCAGCTGACCACTGGAGAAGCCCCACGGAATGCCTCTCCCTGCTTCTTACCACCTCTCACTGTGCTCAGTAATCAACAGGGTCCATGACACAGGAGAAAGAGACAAAAGAGGGCATGTGTATCTCTGAGCATCACTGCAGTTGACTATATGCTGGACACTGGCGGTGTGTCTGTGTTTTAACTCAAAGGTGAATGCATTGGTAGCCTCTGTGAAAACTAGAGCTGACAGTTTCCCGATCCTTCTCCCTCAACCCCTCCAGCCAAATGTGCTTACCTTATTCTGCACTGGGGGCCTATTTCAGGGTGCCAAAGCTGGGGGTATTCTCTTCAACCACATCAGTTGGGGTGTCTGGGGGTAAACAGTATAGTTAGGAGGAATTCTTTCAAATCAGTGAAGGGCTGGCTATGAAAGACAGCACTGGAGAACAATGGGGAGGGGTAGAGCCTTCTGTCTCTCTCAGTCCCAGAAGGGCTGTCCTACTGTGCTCAGGGAAGTGACTGATCCTGGCTGCAGATCTGAGCTGACCAAGAAAGGAAGGAACACAGATACTCACTACAACTGAGAAAAGTCTCATCTTCCTCTCTGATGACAAATTGGGAGGTACTTCTGACATAGCCTCAGCAGTACCCAGACCTTCCCACTGTGTTTACCCTACCTGGCTGGCTGTTCCTCTTGCCCATGAGTCCCACAAAGAAATCATGCATGTCACCTACAAGAAAAGGCCAATGTTGTCAAGACGTCTGAGACTGGAACTCTCTCTCTCTCTCTCTCTCTCTCTCTCTCTCTCTCTCTCTCCAAGGTCTAAGTATGCTACACTTCTCTGGAACTTGGGGTGTAGCCCAGGATAGCCTTGTGCTCTCCATCTCTCCTCTCTTCCCTGAGTTCTGGAATTACAAAGGTGTTAACACATCTGGCTCCTTTGTATCACATTGGAGCCTGAACCCCATAGCTAGTGGGTTTGTTACCTGCTGGCTTCTCTTTCCACCCCCTCCCTTAACACGCACACACCCACATTTCATCAGTTTTCCAGCACAGCAGGTGCCTGGCTTAGTCTTCATTGCCCTCAGGAGAGCCCCTTAGTTCCCAGTGACCAACCAGTGAGGGACAGGATGGCCTCCCATGCCCCTCACACCCGCTCTCTCCTTGTTCCCTGGTGCCATCTCCCACTCACAAAGGCTGGCTAAGCAATTGCAGCTGGCAAACTGTCCACACCAGCTGAGATGAGGTCAGCAAAAATGGCCTACAGGCTGCATGCCCGTGGGATGCTGGGCAAAAGGTCAGCACAGATAAGGAAAAAGCTACTCACGTTTCTGGGGAAGAGATGTCTCCTTCGGCCCTGTGAAACCAAGCACAGAGTGTGGGGAAAGAACAATTAGAGAGGAATTCAAATTACAGCCCACAGCACCCCCCTGCTCCCTCCCCCCCACCTCCACTCACAACTCACTAGGACAGCCCCCCAGCCCCCCCATCT